CAGGCAAGGACTGACGGGGAGGGGGGCAGCTGCCGTTCGTGGCTCCCGTTACTGCCACCTAAGAGACTGGTGCATAAGCGTGCCGGCATCTTCCCACTGTTAGCATAAATGCAGATTTTAAAGAAGCGGTTCGTTAATGACTAAGAAAACAAAAGGGCTATTTAAAAAGTACTCCAAGCATCCGTAAAAATGGTCACAGGACTGCACTTTGCAAAAGACGCAATGTTCTTGTTTGTAAGAGCAATGGGGCACTCGATGACGTAAAGCTCCACTTGACTCCAGCGCTGTGAACTGGGACCTGATAAAGTATTTCAGCTTGGTGATGCAGAGGCACAAGCCGTGTACGTACCTGGATCCTGCAGGGCAGGTCGGGGTTCTGACCCGAACCAGACCGGCTGGCGTCTGCAGTTACGCTGGCTGTCGTGCGGCAAATTGGCTGGGAGAGGCATCTCCAGCAACCCTAGGAATTACAGCCCTCATTAAGCAGCACCGTTGCAAATCACAGTGGCAGATTCTTTATGAAGTGTTCGGTCCAAACTGGGGAGAACCAGGTTCTCAAACTCTCTGGGGCCATAAGTAACTAGATCTGATTTTTATTAGTGCCTGATCTTTGCTGTATGCCCACCTCCTGTGGATGGCAATGAGAACTGTGGTCATTCGGAACATTTTAAAACCTAACCACCTGTTTAATTGCACTAAAGCATGAAAATCCGGGAAGATAATCTGTTTCACTATTTTGCATTACAAGTGAGAAGCACCAGCTCTTCGCTCAGCTGCTGTGGTGCCCTGGGCAGATCACTTAATCACTCCCAGCCTACATCCCTCTTGCCTGCTCACAACAGCTTTCCACACTACAGACTCTCCCACCTGTGTTTCTACTGAGTTTAGTTTGCCCTGATCATCACTGGCACCTCTAAGTGGCAGAGTAATATAAATACGAATTAATTACTGGTAATTTGCTCAAACAAATAAACTTGTTCTTTGCAAGCCAGAATTTTAAACACCAGGACACTTGCTATCACTATTAGGCACAGTATCATTGTACAATATACTGCTTTTTTAACAATACATGCTGATCTGTCATCCGTCAAGAATGTGTGGCCATGAATTTGTTACACACGGTGCATTACTCATCTAGCTGTGATGCACAGTAACGTTACACCCAGTTTCCACTAGACAGCCAAACCCTTCTCTAAAATGATGTGCTGATCCTCTCCCAAGGGCTGCTCCTGACACGACTGAGATGCTCCCCCGTATATTCAGACGTGTACATCTGAACCACTGAACGTCAGAACACTGCGGCTTAGGGCTTAAACACGGACATGGGCTCTTTCAACACCTGAACGGCACCCAAAGCTTCAACACAGAGCATGTCAATAGGTAGAACAGGTTATAAGAAAAAAAGAAAAGTTTTGCAAGCTGGAACTGGTTAACTAATTTGTTATTTATAAAACCTTAATTCAACCCAGCCAACCACGATCAGATGTTGTACTGGCACATATCTGAAGTCACTGTTCTTATGCACAAACACCTACACTTCCTCTAGCTAAAGATTTAGGAGTGCCGCTGAACGTAGTCCGTGCAGTATTTTTGCAGAGAGCTGATGGCTCACAGTGAGTACAGGGCACTGCCTGGAGCCAGTCCCCTCACCTCAGGATGGGGGCATCCAAGCTCGTATGAAAAGCAAATACTTTGATATTTTGCAAATCCTTTTACTCTGGAAGATTCACTCAGACTCTTTGTATGGAAGCTTAATACAGCAAAGTGCTTTGAGACCTTAACGCAAAGAGCAATGTAATTAGGCTACCAAGACCACTAAACAGGCTGAGGGTTGTCCTAGGCCTGTTGGCTTTGATCTTGGACCGCCTGGATTCCAAAATTCTCCCTGCTACAAGTGGGATATGGCTTTTCTGTGGCCATTTTGCAGCGTATGGCAGAACAAGGGATGCAGAAGAGACTGCTTTTTTTGCATCACACTGCATTCCCTTCTGTCCAGGCAACACTCCATCTGCCCCTGGAGGGCTGCTTTAGCAATGCCCGAAGTGTTAGCCTTGTAAAAGTTTCAGTGCTTCAAGCTAAACATTCCTTGCTGCAATTCAAGGTGCTATGTGTGTGCTAACATCCAAAGTTAGTTAAAACAACCCTCCTCAGAAAGAGAAAAACATCTGTTTCTTTTCTGGTAAAGATAGTTTTCTTTCTTTCTACTTCACTTATGCTTAGCCATGGCTTTCTGCAGCAACATCCCAAACAAAAAGAGAAACAGCTTGATGACTAGTACCTTGTAGATGACAAGAGAGGGAGTGTGGAACGTGCTTAGATCTGAGGCCAGCTTATTAAAGAAGAAAAGTATTCATGAAGACACTCAAATGAGTGGTTGAAAGACCACCTGTATTCTGGCTGCCAAGGCCTTTGGCTACAGGCTGTCTACTCAAGAGTCCAACTGACTGCCTAGAACCTTGATTTTGCTGTAAGATTCTTGATTTTGTAGTTAAGCTGGCTGAGCTGTGCCAGTATTTTCCAACTGAGGTAAAGAAATTCTTGGCAACAAATGAAAAACAGAGCAAAGCATGAAAGATAGACAAGTAGAAACTAGAGTAGTTGGTTTTATTACTGAAGT